TACACATCAACATAACATATATTATAAAAATTGTGTTTGACGTTTCTAGACACGGACAATCAGAGAGTTATCATACACGTGAAAGACGTCAACGACGAGCCTCCTTACTTCATCAACCGGCCACTGCCGATGCAAGCCGTGGTGCAGTTAAACGCGCCGCCAAACACGCCGATATTCACTCTGCAGGCACGCGATCCGGACACCGATCACAGTATACATTATTTCATCGTCAGGGACAGAAGTACGTATTCGACGTTTATTTAACATGGCTTAAAATCGATCTTAAATTTCGATAAATATCATATATTGTATAATATGAGAAATCAAAATCAAATACTTTATTTTTTTACGATATATATTCAAAATAACTATTGAGATCGACAACACTAATCTTATACAGTCATTTCATAGTTTTTATTTAAAATTTAATGATGGCAAATAGGTTTATAATGTTGTTCATATTATGTGGATATAATAATAAATAACTAATATTTTTGTTTCTTAATCTCGTTAAATAGCCGTTCAAAATTGAAAATGTAAAACTTATATTTTAATTCGCAAAAGAATAGATAAATTATRATCACAGTCTTATTCAAAACCATCATACAATTATAATTATTTAATATTTTTAATTTTAATCAGAATATACAAATACCGATAAGTGAAATTTAAATAAAACTTTTGATTTTGATTTCAAGCCCGTTATGCTAATAAGTAATATGTATTAGAGAATATTAGCAGGGGCCTTAAGGGGCCACCGCCCACCCAAGTCCATATTTCTAAAATATCTTTCTGAAAATTATGCCTTAGCCCTCCCCCCCTCAAACCCTAATATACAAAGACGTGATTTTAGCAATCGTGAATATTTTACCGATTTCCTTTTTGTTAGTAGGGATGGAAGTAAGGACGCTTACCATGCGTTTATTGTTTCCGTTTTACAATTTGTATGACACGGCAAACTCTTGTTCCCGAGTTTTAATAGTACACTTCTGTTAGTTTTATATTAATGTGAATTGAATAATTATCAATCTTTTAGGTGAGGACATTATTCGTGTTCAAGCGTTGGTTTTTATTCAATATTGAAACTTTCATGTGGGATATGAACAAAACTCGAAAAAATCCCCAATACTTAAGAAAATATAATGTTCTTATCTAAAATTATGTTAATAGATAAATTCACACTGATATAAAAACTAATAACAGCCATAGATATTAAAGAAGGGATAGGCCATGGCTATATAAATAAAATAGAGAAAATTGTGCCGGAATGGGGAAGAGAGAAAGACTGTTTTTTATCATTGCCCCTCATACTGGTAGAGGTCTTATCATAAATTATGTACAATAATTACATATATATATATATATATATATATATTTGTGTTAAAATCTCTATAACTTCAAAATGATTTCATGTTCATTCGCGTATGATAAGCATAATTGGCCTATCTATTTTTTAATATCTATATGATAACAGCGCACTATTGAAACTAGGTGAAAGAAAATTTGCCATGTCGTACATATACAAGATATTGAGACAAATGGACGAGTAGCGTCCTCTTAACAAAAAAATACGTACGTTTAGCACAGAACTATTACGGTAAAATGTACGACTGTTTTTGCCCTCAATTACAAAAATATTATAGAACATGAATTAACAACAGTTACAAGATTATAATCTCACAATTTATAAAAATGGTTATTAAAACTTCCTGTTTCCTGCCGGGAGATTTAATTAAGGATTTCAAAAATGATGCTAATAACGGTAAGAGATAAAAAATGTGGAAATTATCAGAAGAGATATAATCGAGAGAAAATGATGGTTGTCCGATAGAATACATATTACTATTAATGAACAGTAGAAAAATAAAAAAATTAATTTGTGCTTGTGAATATTTACTAATATTGTGCACAACGTTTTCGAACTTTGACAGTTCAAAAAACTCTATGAAGCAAGTCTAAATTCATTTTTATTTTGGAAATTCGGGTGTCTATGCGAGTTTAACTTCACTGGTACGTGATCTGGTTATGATTGCACGCCCGAGAACCACGGTTTAGAGTGGTATAGTTGGGGAGAAATTGTGTGTCAGTGTAATGATATAACGTATAGGGAAAGTGAAATGACCACTTAGATTATTGACAAGCTTTCCAAAGGATTTTCGATATAACATGATATTTCCATCAACAGCCGGTGGGAGGTTCGAGGTGGATGAGCGGTCAGGCGTGGTTCGGACAAGGGGTACCGATCCGTTTCAGTTGGACATGGAATATGTTTTGTACGTGAAAGCCGAAGACCAAAATGGTAGGATGGACGAGCGCCGTTTTCAGTCGACRCCCGAAGAACGTTTGTCGATCGTCGGTGGCAAGAGAGCTCCGCAGTTTTACATGCAGTCGTACGAAGCAGAAATACCAGAAAATCAGAGAAAAGACTCCGAGTAAGTATACGTCTTATAGGTACCGGCAGTACGCTAAACGGGTCATTTATTTTTTACATTTATTTATTTTTTATTATGATTTTTTTTACAGCATCATATCAGTGAAAGCTAAATCGTTTGCCGATCGAGAGATACGTTACACGCTCAAAGCGCAGGGCCAAGGCGCCGGGACTTTTAATATTGGGCCGACATCCGGCATCGTCAAACTGGCCAAGGAATTGGATTTCGAAGATTTGAGACAACCACACGTGTATTCGCTGATTGTCACGGCTACCGAGGATTCYGGTGGATTTTCAACGTCCGTTGAGGTACGTCACTCTTGGTTATGAAATCATTTTGTTGATATAGGTAATAGCTTTTTAATAAACTTTTAGTTAATTTACTTACTGTGATTCACAAATCGAAAGCGATAATAGTGTACCATAGGGATGAGATGGTTCACGCAAGATACTTGCATTGTTTCAGAAAAAAAAAAGTTTTCGAACGAAATTTCTTTAACATCATTTCGAGTCTCGTTTTTAGGAAAAAAATTCGTTTTTTTTTTGTGATCGTTATCATTTAAAAAAGCGTTTAACCCTTTTGAACGATTACTTACATTTTTAATTTAGTATTTCAAAAACGGAAAACTTTTCAAGTCAAGTAGTTTATCATATAGAGTTATAATAAGTAATATTTAAAGTTCTGATGAGTGGAGTAATGGACAAATGTAAAGTAATGTAACCTTTTATAAACAATAAACATAGTGTAATATTATAATATTTTTATTAATTTTTTAATTCAGCTTAATGTTTACAATTTGATCATATCCTCCTCATTTCTTTCAAAGAAATATAAACTTAGTAGTCAGTACCTCTACGATATGATACGGATTTCGAAAATTGTTACATTTGGTTATTCTCCTAAAAATTATCTATTATTATGATTTTAAGGTAACTAGCTAGTTTTCTAGATTTTATATAATTTTATATTTAGATTGCTAATTKCTACTCTAATAAGTAATAAATATATTTTTCCACTTATCTAGTGGCCGTTACCTATTTGATAGATGTATTATATCAATAAAAATGACTTCACAGGAAAAACTCTAATGACTTTTTGATATGTCCGTATTTTATTTATCTGAACGATGAGAATTGTTTGCGAGTCGTATCGAAGCTAAATTTTCATTTTACTTTAGGTAGTGCAAGTCAAAAAAGACGTTTTAAAAATAACAAACATTGTGCATTGTTCAAATGCATATTTCATCTACTATGATTACTATAGTTTTAAAGATCGATCCAACACGTGCAGAAAGTTTTCTTCGAAAAAAWATTTGCTTTTGTTCTTCAGAATGCGATAGTTATTCCTTTAAGACATTTACATTTTTTTACAATAAAAATKTACATTCTCAATATTGTATCTGTTACGCTTATTTTAATACAACGAAAAAAATATTGATAATACCATTTGCTGGAGTAAGAGCAGTAAAGGCAGTAGAGCACTATATAAAATATTAAAATCAGTCCGTCTGGGGAATTGTAAGTTCCTATCACGAGAGTAGCAGATAAAATATTACACAAAAGTTGATTTTTGAATATTATGCAAGATGTGTAAATTCCAACAAGGCAAAAAAATGTATTMTATCAAAATATCATAATATGTAGATTGTAGGCACATTTCGTACATTTCATTTTCATAWWTTTTATAATATTCAATAATTGTAAAAATAAAAACATATTGTATGGCTTATATAAATTATCAATCTGATTAACCTATTATTATTTAYTATTATTTTTTTCATTATTTCTAAATTCTTGAAACAGTTTCATCAATTTGATGACTATATTTTTAAAATAATTATTAAATTATAAAATGCGTGTATAGTGTTTATTACGATATTTGTATAYATTACGTAGTATACCATTTTTTTTTTTGGAACTTACGCTTGTCACTTTTCCGCCATGTACGAGCTTATAAAATCTAATTTTTTCTATCGCTACCGAAACTAACACATTTTTTTACCTGTTAAGTGATTAATCTCGTGTAGGAATTTACATATTCGCCCGTCCGTCTTTCACTCACATTCCAGACCGCAGCCCCCTTATTGCTTTGTTGATGTAGGCGGACTATCCATACTTATACTATAATTACTATACAACCTACGGGCGCCAATGTACTAATATTGTAAGGATACAGGGCGTCCTGGAAAAACTTTATATATTATATTATTATACGCTATATATACAAACAGTTACGAATCGGCATAGGCACCCGCAGGAGGGGCAAGCTGGGGCATTTGCCCCCCTGGCTTTTTCAAAATATTTTTTTAAATTGAATGTTTTAATATAAATTACTATA